AGATGACTGTCTGAGGTTCTGCTCAGGGTTTCTGCCTGTTAAAGGAAGTTTGTCCTCTCCACTATGTGGATAAAGTGGATCTGATCTTAGACGATGAGGCACAGTCTTTTCCCACTATTACCACCTTTTTTTTCGTCAAGTGTCTTGAGATAACACTTGTGAATTGGCACTATCAATTATCATTATTCAAATTTAAACATCAAATGTAGTGCCTGAGCTTTAGCACCACCACCTGCCACAATTTATGGCTGTTGCTCCAGTAAATGACTGCTGGTTATAATGCTCTACCATAGACTGTATATAGAATGGACGCAGTCTGCCTGCTCACTGGGTGAAGCCACCCTGAGAACAGCTCCCTCTAGTGACGGGCTGCAGTAAAGGTCATAAATCCTGCCCCCTCCAGCAATTCCTATGGAGCTGTGGACATCACAGCAACTCTCCGCGACTCTCCCACCGAATGTGTACAACGCTACTGCACAAGTGGTGGTTCCAGGAAGTGGAGAAAAACCCAGAAATACCAAGAGCAATTAGGCTTCAAATTCATATAATGACAGAATGCAGAACCAAGTTGTCCAAAGTATGTACAGTGTATGTGCTCTACTATCTGGATGTAAACAAGCACAGATGACAGACAGTTTGTTGTAGGGCAGGACAGTTTGACCATTGATCTAAAAAATACGAATAAAGTTGGATTTGGGCTGGTTGTAAGTGGTTAACTGTTGTGGTTAAAGTTTTAAACAACCGCTCCTGCTAAAACTCAAATATAAACACAACATCTCTAACATTCAAATTACTCTTTAAGGACTAATATGCCATATGTCATCACAAAGTCCATTAGAAATGTGACCTCTCTTAGCATCGCTAATCATGACAGACTGTCAGTGCCCCAGCTTGATGTTTAAAGATGGCAAGAGATTGTTGGTCTTACAATAATGCTTACCAATATTTAAAAATACTTGTGTACAGGACAGGATAAGTGAAGAGAAAAAAATACTAATAAGATATAATAAAAAATTAAGGCTATGTACCAGGGTTGCCATACAAAATAAAAGTTGGGCCCACCTGCTTGAAAGTGTACATGTAATTAATATCGACGACTGTTACTGTCTAACCTTTTGAGGGGTTAAAAATGAAAAGATTATTTGACATCTGCAAAAATTCAGCAGGGATTTGATATTTGTAGACATAGCCCCATGTGCCCAAAGCTGCTTCCTTGAATGTAACCCACATTTGTCTTGATCTCCTTAAACTAAACAACAATGTTGTGCAGGAAACGCAGTGTCTTTAATCACAAGATGAAAACAAAAACTGTAACCACTCATCTTATCCGCTGAATTAATCATACTCAGCCAAATGTGAAGCCAGTCATAAACTAATCTCCCACATCCATGTTCAGCACAGTGCCTATGAATCCTGGCCTGTTCAAACTGTATAGGCTTTAGCAGAAAGGTAAAAGATTGCTTTTATTCTTTATGAGTTGCCTGAGGAACGGCAGCTTATAATCCACTAAGCACATCTTAATCAATGTTCCCCTCTGCCGTGCTGCGGCCTGTTGGAAACCAAACAGAACATGATGGATATAATCTGTGTAAAACCTTCCCCCCCGGAGCAGATTAATTATGATCTTTGTAAGTCATAAACACATCTTTTTAATTATTGATGCCTAACCCTTTGAAATGAAATTGAAATTAAATCTGTGTGATTTACAACGCTATGAGCCGCCTTGCTCTCGGCTGCTTTATAGAGAGCGAGAAGGTAAGTCTGCAATTGCATAAAACATTTCATTGGCTAAATGGAGAGGGATCATACGCTCATATCAGAATTAGCTCGTTTTCATTGACGCACTTTGCAGGGTTTCAAGGTGAGCGGGGTGACGGGACATGTGTGTGTGTGCTAATGTGTGTTTTGTGTGTGTATGCAGGGGGGGAGGGACTCCTGGCTTTCCATGACAGCCCTGCTTGAATCAAGTGTGGCACCCTCATATGAGTGAAAATAATGGAATCCTATATGTCTTTGAGCATGTCAGCGTTTCTCAGCAGGCCCAAATGGGAGTTGACGGCTGGTTGCAGCAGAAGAGGAGGACAGAGATGGAGAAATAAGAGCCGGGTGACCAAGGGGGCACCTCTGAGGCTGACCTGCAGTCAGAAAGAGCCGGGGCTTGCTGTCATCAAACATCAAGCAGCTTAAAACACCAGTCCTCTCATTTCTCTCTTTGTTTACCTGCAACAAAGCAGGTCAGCAGACAGACATGCATATGTGATTTTACTAGGACTTTACCGGCTATCAGTAAAGTAAAAGTCTGTACTAATTGAGAATTACTGCACACCTGATTGGACCCAACTCTAGGCATTCGCTCATTTACCAATAAAGTATTTTATCCTTTAGTTAACTTGAGAAATGTTCAAGTAATTATAGCAGAATGAAAACTTTACTTTTAACTAGTTACTTTGCATCTGAGTACCTCACTACTTTCCTCTGAAATATGACTTTTTGTGTGAAATGTTACAAATAAGTAGTTTTATAGAGGATGTTTACATGAATTGTACTTCATGTTTTTGTTTTAATACTGTTTCATCAAATTTTAAAACTTGTTTGAGGAGTTTTAAAACTCGAACGACCGAGGCAGTAATTTTCGCTGCTTTCAAAATTTACAGTGTAAAGTAAAACTTATACACCAGTCACACCCTGACTTTTCTTAAATGTATGTATATTTTATTCTAACATTGTTTTATCATTAAAATTTCAAAACACAAATGAGATCTGAGTATTACTACCTCAAATGACCAGAGCAGTCAAACTGACTGCATGCCTTTTTACAAAGGGTGTTATATTTTGCTATTTGCTACATTTTCCCGCTCTCTCTTGCTCTATTGTTTATTTTGTACCTTAAGCTCCGTAAAGCTAAAATCTTGCTATAACTTTACTCAAAACTCAAGAGAATGACAACTAAGAAAAATGACAAGTATGGAGGCTTTTAGCTTTGCGTCAGAGCCTTGATGAGGAATAATCTGATGGTTCAGCAAGTTCAGGGGATGATGTGGCTTGGTATTTTGAGGAAGGTTCTTAAAAATCTCATTCATTATCATTTTCATTTTTTTTAATCTATTCTACCAATTTCTTGTTAGTTTTTAAAGAAACTAAAGACTGATTAAGACTGAGAAGTCAAAATGACTGCCATGATCATTCTAGTGGCTGCAGAATTTTGGTAGACTGAGTGTTAAACAAGTTCTGGAGCAATCTGAAGTTCATATTGTTGCCCGTTTTTAACCAAAAAAGATTAAATAAAACCATCATAGAGAATAAGTGTCTGAAAAGACATCATTTTAGAATAGAAAAATGCTTCTGATGAGCCTTAGAACGTCCTTCCAGCAGTTTTAAAGGAGTTCAAGGGAAAAAGTGAAGTAGTTTAAATATGTGTCAAAACCAAAATGAGTTGCATGTTTGACCAATATTAATTGGAAAAATCACATTCAGAGTTTTTACTGGCCCTCAAATATATGGGGAGTAAACATGTAAGTGACACCATATAGATCCTGTATGGTGTCGCTTTGTTGTTTCTATATGATTGACTCAACTTTAGTTACATGGAAGTGGTGACATGGTCTCTAAAAAATCATTTGTTGGTTTCACTGAGATTATACCTAATTTCACCCACCATGTGTCATGACCATATAACTGAATTCATCACACATGTTAAGGCCGATGAGTTCGGTTATAGAAACACAAACTTTCACACTGTGACGTCTCTGTTCCATCCTATAGCCTCATTTACCTAACCACCTCAAATATAATTAGAAACCTCCAGCCTGATATAAAGGACCGTGGTGTACGGCTGATTTAAAGCGTCGTAGGAGTCTCTTGAGTTTGTGGCTGAGGGCAACATGCTCCACTAAGTATGGGGATCAGACAACCTGGAACCACTTACAAGAGAGGATGTCCTTTTTCTTTGCTAACACCGGCTTCCTTCCACTCTACTGTAACACACCGTACAAAAACAACAACACCTCCCTCCCCCCCAGTGATCCCCCAACCTGCTTTCACATGACTAAGCCATTATCTCCCCCCCAGCACCACCCATCCTAATCAAAGATACAGACATGAAAAGGCTTTATTAATAAAAGTTCCCCCTTCAGGAGGATGGGAACTAAATGATTGCTCGAATGTGCCCAATTTGAGGCAGATCTGCTGGCAGACTGGGCATCTGGACTGGGCGGGGCCAGCAGGAAACTGGTGCATCTGGAAGCTGTTTACTCTGCAGAAATTAAGAGACGCACCACGCACAGATATACCACCCGCAGTCACTAACTCGGAGAGTAAGTGAGTGTGTGTCTGCGTAAGAAACACATGTTTTTTTTTTTTTCTTCTTTTCTTTTTTCCTACCCATTTTTGGTGTTTGGCTTCTCTATATTGCTCATTTTCTAATAAAACTGTATGCGTCTACTTTTCCTACCTCTCCAGTTTTTTTTAGGGGACTGTATTTTTGTGTGATGCTGTGGAAAGACTTCTCAGCGTCCAGATGTAGCGCACAATACTGTAGCTTCAGCAGGTTTAATGGATGCAAAGTGAAACAGATGCAGCTGTGATGCTTCATAAAAATCCATTTGTGCACAACAAGCCATTACACTTCTGCAACAGCGAAGGACATCCAAAAACACTTTACAGAAGATGTGGAATCTGTGCCTGTACAGCACAGCAGAGTTTTTCTTTTTTTTTTTTTTTTTCCTGCTCTCATACTACTTTTCTGCTGCTCAGAGGCTTTTCTCTGGTTGCTGTGGTGATGGAGGAATGTCACATTAGTCTGTGATTATCTCTATGAGGTCTGCATTCGGTTTCCTCCAACTTGAGTAATTGCATTTTTCGTCTTCCTTCTCTCTTTTTTTCCCCTTTTTTAATCAAACTCACAAACAATAAGCGAGCAGGCGCTGACAGAAAGTCAATGCAGCTCGGACAGCCGTGTGGTCTGAGAAGAAGGCCCGACACCGACGCCTTTTATGCTCGGGATGACGAGGCCAAGTGGGCCCCATCACATGGCCGCCAGGTTAAACAAAAAGCCTCTGAGCGATCGGCCTCGGAGGGCTGAAGCGAAATCCAGTTCAGCGGCGCAGACAGCCACCACTGTGCAATTCTGGTCGTCAGACAAAAGACTGATGCTATCTAATAAAGAGGGCTGCATCCATCTGAAGCACACAAACACCAGCGACATCAGTGAAAGGCAGAAAGAGGAAGAGAATGGGTGTTTGTAAAGAGAGGCAGCCTGACAGTTGTTGACTCTCTAGTACCATAAATAGTAGCTGTAGTCTGTCAATGAGAAATGAGCTAAATAAATGAAGGCTAGGATAGTGGGTTGCAGATGCAGTGCAATAACATGAGGTCATTCGGAGAGTCAATGGTGTTTAAAATGGAACCTGGGGACTCTGAAGGGCCCTCTAAGAGGTGGGGGCAAGTTACAGTAATTCCATTTACAATCAATAAAGTGGAAAATATTTAAATTAGATAAAGAAGAGCACCTTTAGGACACACAGTTTGACATTGTGTTTCGATTAGGTTTCATTTCCCTCAGTGCAATTTGGTTGTCATTGCTCGTGTTTTTTGACCAATGCAGCTTTTCATGTTCAGGCTTATCCATCTTGTCATCAGGAAACAAACTTACACCTATATATTTTAAACATTTAATGTGTTTGTTTTATCAATATTGCCATTTGATTCTTTATTGTATATAAACACGGTTGTTTTAAAAGAAAAAAAACTGGGATTTGTTTGTTTTTTATCAAATCTATAAATTAAAAGAACTCAAAACAACCCTGTTGTATCTTGTTCTTTACTTTGTGCTTATGTTACATATTGTTTAGCTACCAAAAGGTTTAGATACATCTTAAATGGGACATTCACTGCAGAGTGTTCACACAGGGCCTTTAGTTTGGTTGTCTTAATTCATGAGAAGCCTTGTGTTAATTAAGATCCATGAACAACAATATCACTCTCCTCATAAAATGAGATTATTTTTGATAAACAAACTTATCCGGCAATGGCAATCATCTCCAGTCATCCCCAAACAACGCTATGCTAAATGTGCCTTTGGGAATGGATGCAAACTTTTCAGTCTGGTCTGGTGTCGTCAGCACTAAGTGCTCAATGACTTCAAGTCAGGACAGCCATGACACAGATTTGTGAAAAGTTGAATCGGAAACTGAACTGAGTCCATCCTCAAGAGGAGAAGAGCATAGATTTGAAAATGGTTGTTTAATGAAGTTACATCAGTCATTTCTGGTGTATTCCAGTGAGGAAATCTAAACACTGATTGGATTTCATAACAGTGTGTTGCAGAATTGTCCCTCACTTTGTTGGATCCGCAGAAATCTGTTAATAGATTAAAGAAAAAAACAGAAAAGCAGGGATGGCACTGGAGCAGTATACTCTATTCCTGCTTTTCCTCTTTACACACACTGTTTTACCTGCATGGACCAGAGCCTGCTGATACATGACTGCACTAAATATTCAGACCACAGACTATAACCAAAAACAGAAACACTCTCCATGCTGAAAATCCTGACCTCTGAGCACCGGTGAAGAGTACTTATTCATGTAGAATTTTCATGTGAAAACAATCGACTTGACTGATGATATTTATATAATAAAACAGCAGATAATAGACACTTGAATGGTGATTAGAGTTGAAAAGGTGCAGTAAGAAAGTGGATGAGATCTGGCTGCCATTAAAATTGAACTCTCTGTAAGAATGCACTTTCATGGAAACAGGAAGCTCATGTCAGCCTGCGTGTTATCACCGCTAACGTATGCATGACAGCAGCCGCTGGAGATGTTTGCTAATTTCCCCCCATTTTTTAAAATTCCATTTTATTTGTACTCATTGATTTTGTGTGAGGATGGGAATGGCCGGCCATCAGAGCTCCAGGAATAAAACGCTGGCACTGACCTGTGCATAGATAATTCGCCATGAAAGACAATCAATAAATAACAAACACTCCCTAATCAGCCAAGGAGCTGACAGAATGACATTCCATTATCCCCATCTGGCCCAGTGCAGTCAGAGCAGGCAAACCTCAGAGGGCCAGGTTTGCCTCCACACACACACACACACACTTTCCAACCAAAGCCTGTCCGGGCCCTGATGTCACATCACAACACACACACAGGAACAGATAAATAATTGCCTTACAGACACAATGTGTCACTGCTGGCACCTCCAGCAGACCCATGTCATATAATTTAGCAAAATGCAGATGATGTTTTATAGAAACAGTTGTATTCATAATGTGGTCCCTAACAGCTAACAGTGGAACATAAAACAGAGCGACCTTTTGGCAGACATTTTTAACAAACTAAATTATGTATTATGCTGCATTTGTCTGATGGTTTCAGGTGTGTAAAATTGCTTCTATAGCACTTTCTATGCCACTATTGCAAACACCTTCTGGAAAAGTGGAATGAATTTAATCACTGAGGTAAATTGATCTGACAAAACCAGGCTAAAAACCACCAAGTGACTCTCAATATGATAGCGAACATAATGAGTGACCAACAAAAGTGCAGCATTACTGTGATAATTGATGCATTTTACACATCCTTATTATTGTTTTCGAGTACAAACTTCACATCTTTATTGCCCATGAGAATACCATTTTTAGAGCTATATAACCATGGAATATGTGTAAAAATACACATTTCTTAGATAAAGATGCTGTTTATACACAGTTTAGTTATTTGCAGATATAACCAACTTGTGAGCCTGCACACCTCCTTAAAGGGTTACTCCGGTGTAAACTTAAGTTAGGGTCAAACACACCGTAACACAGAGTTAGACGACCCCTCGAGAAATTAATGTTGCCGACAGCCTGCCTCTCTAGTTATACCAACTTTAGTAACGACCGCACGATAGCAATACACAGTGATCTACGTCTCCACATGCAAACCTCAACCAAAAAGCCACTCTATAGCCACAAATAATGCTCAGAACAGCACCTAACTTCATCAACAGTACATATAGGGTCCCAGCCAAAGTACTAGCCATCAAACATCTTTTTAGCTTTGCCTGGTTTCATTAGCAAAGAGACTAAACACAACTCACCCACTCTCCTCCAGCAGCTGCTTGTTTGTGGGGGAGCCCTGACGAGTTGATCACAGAGTGCAGCAGAGTTTCACAGCTCAAGGAAGAACATTTATGATCATTACTTCATGGAAGTGCAATCAGAGTTCTTGTGTATCTTGTATGTGCACTACAGATGCGGCAGTCCTTCTGCCTTAGCATCTCGGTCTGATTCATTTCCATGGAGTAATAATCATAAATTTTCTGGTGCACTCGGTGATTGACTCGTCAGGGCTTCCCTTCACAGACCGCTGTGTATTGCTATTGTGCGGTCATTGCTGAAGTTGGTATAACTAGAGAAGCAAGCAGTTGGAAATATTCATCTCTCAAAGGGGTGTCTAACTAGGTGTTACGGTGCATTTGACCATATCTTAGATTTATGCCGGAATATCCCTTTAATGGCACAAGAATTTTATTAACTCACTTTATTTCAACCTGCTGGTCTTCGTCTGGTGATAGCTATCACCTGGCAGAGTTGGCTCGGATTTTCTTGAGCGTTAAACAAATTAAAATGCAGACATAAACAAGAGAGAGTCCTGCAAAACCTAACTCCAGGAGACAAGACTGAATTTAATTTGGACCTGGCAGGACTTTGGGTCTGAGGTCAGGTCGAAGCTACAAACAATACAGGAGAATGTCCAAGCTGCAGTACCGGGGACTATAGTTTGTCCCTTGTCTTCGAGCAGCAGTTCAGGGTGTTTTCAATTTATTTTTGAGAGGACAAACAAATGACTGAAGCTTTAAGTTTATGTGTTCACCCTAACTATCCATCAGCTGAATCCAAGCATAACATCTTCACTCTGATAGCATCACATTTTGCCCTCCACCAGCCTGTAAGGATGGGATATAAACTTTAATTTGTGGATGTGCCCAACAGGAATGCAGCTCCAAGGATCCTGAGCTAAGTTTAGGAGTTCCTAACTTTAATCCGCAGCTAAACCAATAACCCAAAAACGTTACTGTTAGTGTACAAAAAAAAAAAAAATTATAGTGCAGCTTATTGTCGTCATAATCTAAACCACTTCCCATATTGCATATCCTCAGTCCCCACTTAGCACACATCACTTGGGTGAGTCATGAAAATAAGAGGTTGTCTCCACATGGTTCTCAGACCACAGCTACCTCTGATTTATCAGTGCGCTGCATGCAGTTTGAAGTGGTGTGTGAGTTTTATGATCTTACATGGAAAGTTTTGTAGGATCACTTCCAGAGTACATTATGCACTCTTTTTGGGGATAATTGTACGGGTGTGGTCTAGTGGTTATTACACAGCATGGAGATATTAAGAAAAAACACACAAACATTTTTCTTTTTAGCTTATTAGAATTTACAGGAAACAATCCCTTACTGTTGCTGGAGGAAGAATAAATGCACTTTCAGCTTGTGTTTTTCTTAGATGTAATGGACGCTGGATGTTAAGAACAGCAGCTTTCATGGATTCATGTGTGTGTGTGTGTGTGTGTGTGTGTGTGTGTGTGTGTGTGTGTGTGTGTGTGTGTGTGTGTGTGTGTGTGTGTGTGTGTGTGCTAGTGAAGGTCCCCTGGTCTCTGTTGCTGACTTAGAGGAGTGAGGCTATAAAGGCAGTAAAGCTCTCCATGTCTAAGCAGTTTACAGTTAACCCCAACTGGGAGGTAACAATACCAGAGGTGGAAGTACACACTATTATTGTCTCTCACCTGTGTGTGTGTGTGTGTGTGTGTGGGTGTGGGTGTTTGTGTGCAGGCTACAGTGGTAATCTCTCATTGCTTTTATTCAGCCTCATTCAGAGTCTGAAAAGCAGTATGATAGACAAGAACAATTACCATTCTGGGTTTTGTAAAGGATGAATTGAGCAGCATAAACAAAGCCTCTTAACGTGCACCTGAATGCAACATTTCGAGGTGATTATACTGGAATAAAGGATGAATAGCATATCGGTACATTGTCTGTCAACGCTCACGATTGTGCAGATTATGTGTAATCTGCTGTTTTGTGTGTGTGTGTGTGTGTGTGTGTGTGTGTGTGTGTGCGCTCTCGTGAGAGTTTCTCATTTCAAAGCGCCACCTCATCATTCATGCTCCTCACCACGAGCGGCTAGTTTTCATAAAGTGACAATACGAAACATGCGCTGAAAATGAGTGAGCTATCATGTTGCCTCTG